GAAGTTTTGAGGTTATATTTACAGAGTTATAACTTTCTTTCAAAAGGAAGAGTAAAATATAGCATAGCATAGAGAAATCACAATGCCAAGTAGACTCATGAAAAATAGCAACCATCTGATAGCAACAGAGCTTTATTTAGCATTGAAGGTCATGAGAAGAACTGAGGCTAAAAGCTGAAGGCAGACAAATTCTAATCTGAAATACAGAACAAGTGTTTAGCAGCAAGGTAGCTAAAACTTGAAAACACGATCAAGGCAAACCAGGTACTCGCATGTCTTCAAACAAAAGTGAATACCTTTCTAAAAGACACAATTCAGTGTAATCTAAGTTACCAGGTACCTGAAAGAAACATGTATGATATATGGGAGGTCAGTTTGGATGAATTGCTAATTCTACCTATCTTTAAACCCTATGAAAATAAATCATTACTCAAAAGCAAGTCCTAGCTCACTAATATAATTTGCCTTACATTTTCAGTGCTTCTGAGTTTTTTCAGTGAAGAGCAATGTTAATCACTTAGTTAAAGCATTCAGTTAAAAATCCCACTAGAGTCTGAAGTTGGCAAGCAGCCACCGTGTTCCCTGTCTTCTTTCACAACACCATCCTCTTGGTAACAGAAGGCATTTACTTAAATAAGATGGAATGAGATTTCCACAAACAGCAGAGTTATCAGCTGCTAATAGCTAGGCTTGTTGCTTGCTTGTATTTATACCCCAGAACACTGCTGCTTCAAAAGCTAGACTCAGATAATCACCTACAGAATACAGATTAAAACTGACATCAGTTTATTCAGCCTATGTTTTTTGCATATGTGTGTGCAAGGTTAAGTGGCATCTTCTAGTTCAGCTGACCTAACCCTGCACGTGCTACATACAGGTGTTGCTGACAGCAACTTCAAGAAAACTACAACCAGGCAAGAACAGCTCAGAATCTCTTCTGACTGATACACTAGGAACAGAATTACCAGCTAATCATTTCCAATCAAATCAGAAATTATATCACTGCCAACGAGAAAAATCATTTTATGACTTGCACTCTTAAGCAACCTGTAGCTTTTTTATTGTTATTTTTCTTTTTAACAATATAACTGCACTCACTTTAACTGGTATATTGAAATAGGGAAGCAACAGCAAGTCCTTAAACAGCATACACAAGTTGACAGTTAAACTTTGAATATTTTGCAGTGCTTAGATCCAGGCTTCTGCCTCTTTGTCTGCTGGCAGACTGGATTCTGCACTCACAATTAGGTTCATTACAGAGTGTCACTGTACAGCATGGCAGTACATGACATGACATTGTATTGCAATGTAAAGGCAATTGAGGGATATTTTTGGGTTTGCAGTCCACTCCTTCCACAGCACAGAGCATACTGAAGCAACTAAAGGAGGAAACTCTAGAGTTTCCTTGCTAAATCTCTGACTGTCCAATCTTGCTTTTGAATCATCAAATTTAATTTCTTTAGTCTGAACGTGGAATTAAAGAGTGAGTGAGTAAATGGATTCTCTTCATCCCTGAACACTTAAAGTTTATGAAAGCAAAGAATTTTTCTCCATGGCACCCTTGGGCAGCCTGGAGATCTCCTCTGACAATAAAAGAGAAGCAGTTCTGCCTTCACTAGGGTCTCCTCCAAAAACTTCTGTGCTTGCAGAGGCCATTAGATGCAAAGATACCAGGGAAACAGAACAGCGATTTACATTGACAAAGAGGATTTTGATACACTCCTCCAAATGGGGCAGCATTACCATCTTAATAGCCTTTTGCTCTCAGCCCTCTTCCTGAGGACGCTGGAGATTTTTGCGAATGGAGAACAGTTCCGCTTCTCATTTTAACTGCAACAATAGCAGAAGGGCTCCTTAAACTGCATCAAATAGCAGTCTGCGAAATCCCTAACTAGCCACACTGCCTCTCCTGCCGTTTTATTATCCTCCAGTCCACAGAACAAAGAGGGAGGGAGCTACTCCTCTTTTTTTTTTTTTTTAGCCTATTCCACACATCCTAATCCCTCAGAGGTGGCAATGGAAATTGCCTGTGGAACTGTTAAATCACACTTTCACTTTGTCTTTCATTCCCCATTCACCCTCGCTAATCAAGGAGCTTCCAGCCACATTTTCCGATATCAATTTGTTTATGGCCTATTGGTTAATGGTCCCGGGATGGGACCCCCTGAGTAAAAAGAAAGAATCCTGGGCACTTCAGCCAGCTGCTGCTTCTCACCAGTTCCCACACCCATCCACTTGTTCTCATCAGCCACACTGAATGTGCTCACCTCCTGACACCAACTGAATTAAACAACAAAGCCTGAATGGGAGAGTTGCATTTGCAGTCAGGCTGTGGGATAGATTCCACTTACTAGTGCTACATGATGTCTCTTAAGCAGCAACACAGAGATACTCCATCACCAGCTGATCCATGGCCAGTTACCTTGCTCTCATCTTACCTTGTATCCAGCTTCCCTTTGGAAAGAAGCACCAACTACAACTCCCAGGAAAACTCTAGCTTCTCTTGCATAAGGCAGCCTGGTGCCACTTTCTGCATCTAATCCAAACCAGCCATTTCCTGGTGATTTGCTCACTTCCTCTTTCCACAGAAATAATGATCACTGAAATGTGGGATGAGAGCATGCAATATTTACTTTGCACAGGTCAGGGAGATGGCTTACATGTAAGTGCTTAGAAGTTTCTTCTAAAACACTTGAGGCACATTATCAGGGGAATCATGCCCTTCCTTGCTACCCGTGTTGGAGAAAAATATTTGAAGTAGAAACATAATGGTGTAGTCAATGTAATGGCTCGGGCCCGGGCACGGAAAGGAGCGGGAGAGTGGGAGCTTCGCCTGTGTGGACAGTGCCATCGTGGGAGATGAGAGGGGGAGCCCCGGAACACACAGAAGAGAAGGACAACTCTAAACCCGGGCAGATGGAGCTCGTTCAGCCCTGTAAGGCCACCTATCTAAGAGAAGGTCACTCTAATTAAACCTACATCCTGAGGACCTCGCTGCCACCGTCCAAGCTCGCTCGGCCCCGGCAGATGAACCTTAGGATTAAAGAGTGGGCTCAGTTCAGCGCACACTGTGTCTCACCTAAAAAATCCACTGCGCAGGCTCGAAGGCCTTACCCGCATTTGCAAAGCCCTGTATCACCAGCGTGTTTGTAGCAAACATGGGTAGAGACCTTTCCCAAATCTTTGTTTGCGAAGACTGGCCATGACGATGATACGAGTCAACGTAACAAAAGGCTCGCACGAAGACAAGCTTCTAGCTGCCTTCCAAAATGTACAAAGAATGCCTGATATTGAGATATCATTTATTTAAAGAAATCCAAACTGGTATCTCACCTGTTTTTAGAAAAATGGCAAATGATGTTTTAAATTTACACCCCAGAAACATACAGATATAGGGAAATCAGCAATTGCCACACTCCTAATACAGTGATACCCTTCTATCAGAAAGTGCTGTTCCATCATCATTAAGTGTAAACAGGCCCATTTGTTCTTTAAAGGTAGGGTTCAGTCCTGGGAAAGCTATATTCATGGCCCACAGAAAAGAACTGAAAAAATAAACATCCTCTCTGAACAAATGCTCTCTGTTTCTGAAATGGGAAAACTTTCTTTCCCAAAGTTTCACTACATTAGTGCCTGAGGACAGAGCAGGAAACTGATTTTTTTTATAATAACCAGAAACATCTATGTAACCCAGAAGACATCCAAGATAGAAAAGTAGCTTATCTTCAGCCCTACACTGAAACAAAACATGTCAAGACCAACTCTTGCAAGTAACCTCAGTTTAAACTAATAAAATTTTTTTCTAGTTCCAATAGACTTTTACAATTACTGGTACCAAATAAGGCAGATCAAATACCCAAAATGCTATCTAATAATACACTGAATATAGTATCTAAAGGCTTAGAAACACTGGATGGACCCCTGTCCCCATTATCATCATGTAGATGTATCAAATGGAAGCAAAAACACACCACAAAACATTTTTATTTCTTTTGTTTTCTGACATTTTGCATCACCTGAGATGTAAGCACATTGAGTCATTAGGAAATATAAATGTCATTGGTATGGTACGGCCTGTTTGAAGGTGAGAAACACGCAATCAGAAAGAACTGTTCACATCCCTTAAAATGTCCCTAGTCACTCATGGGATCAGTGATTCCCAATCACCGGAACCTGAGAAACAGCTATACTGACTCTTCTTACCGCCATGGCTGCATATCACACTGTCTCTTCTGAGCAAAAGCTGACAGGCACTGACTAGTTTTATTTAGTCTGTAAAACTGACGCAGCGATAAGGAGCCAGGCTGCGTATCAACAGACAGCAACTCAACAAAATTGGTCTATGAATGTCTGTCAAAAAGTAAGGATGTTTACTGGGATAAATGGGGAAAAGAAGGGAAGAGCTGAACTTTCTTTGCTGTGGTCTGAAAGTACATGATTTAGGATATGGTCACAAGGAATCCTAGTTCCCTGCCATCATGGTGGTAATATCCAGCTTTTCAGTATACTACCTCATATCCCAGAGAATCTGAGGGTTATTTAAGACCATGGGGCATTAGCGTTAAAATGATCACAAATACAGAAAACAGATATTAATTTCCTGTATTTTTACTGATGTCAAGCCACTTGCTAAAGAAGAGACATTTATTAGAGCAGGTTATTAATGACAGATGGGTACGTTTTTCCTGAAGAAATCTATCCCATAGGACCAATGTTACCAGAACCATTTCACTTTACCTTGAAGGAAAACAGGGAGCCTTGATTAATAATTCCAGGGCCCATTCCTAGATCCATGGCAATATAGAAAAACTAATTTAGTGTAATCCAAGACAAATCAGTAAATGCAGCACAAGGCTGCCCTCGTCAACCAGGCTGTTTAAATGCGTGGGGCTTTAATTAGTCATAAATAGCACCATTTTCAACAATAGTTGCTGTTATCTACATTCAGTCTGCTTAAAATACTAATTGAAAAGGCAAAACAACCAATGCTCTCGTCTTACCCTGAAGAACCAAGCCTGATTTCTCAATGGTGTAGAAAAAAGCGGAGAATGGAGAAACAGGTGATTTAGCGACCAGGAGCTGCAAAGCAAACATAACATATAAGCACACGTATTTATAACACACTGATCAAAGCTGAAATCTGTAAAACAATCTCACCAAATTTAACTTCCAGAAGTAGTAAAGCATACTTCAGAAATAATATGGTAGTTATTGATCTAGCTCTGTCACTTCTAAGTAATTGAGGTCTTCTCATACACATATATAGACCATACTACAATTTTAAAAGGACCCACAGGTCTTAAAAAAACACTGCTGTGAAAGCAGTAAGTTTTGCTTGTCTTACTGACATCCTGTTAAGCTTAATCATTCCTGCTGGTTCAGGCTGTTGCACTCAGAGACAATTTTGAGCAAAACTGCTACTGCCACTGTGTACGACAATTTTTAATTGCCATTAGCCATTCCACAGATATGCTCCCTTGGCTTCTCAAAGAACTCCACCCATTAACTTCCTCCACACCCTGGAAGCAACATGTCCACCCATGGGTCACCACACTAGGGATGGTAATATGCCATTGCAAGTATCTGGATGTCCTCTTTTGCAAAAGGAGTATTGACCAAGCAAAGCTTTATCCAAGGATTGTGTCTTTGGAATATCAAAACAGGAACTGGAATTCCCTCGCAGTGTATAACACAATTGAATTTAGCTTGGCATTAGGGTGTGATGGCCATTCACCATCAGGTCAGAAATATCCCAGGCTCCCTGGCTCCACTACAGAAGAACCATCCTCTGTGGAAGATAAACTGCAGCAGAGCTCTGGAGACAAAGAAATGGGCTTGTTGGCAGGGTAGGGAATGTGGGACCTGCAGGTGGCAAACTCAAACAAATGTGCCAGGCTTTATTGCTTGGCTGTTTGATTTTTGCTCATTGCCAAGGACTGCTCTCTCACAGGTTGCCTCAAAATAATCCCCATTCTGTTACATGAACCTACATGAAAGTGACATTTTAATGACAGATTTAACACATTCTGCCCAGAGCGTGATCAGCACAAACACTGATCTGCTGGTGCTTGTGTGGCCCTGCAAAAGCTGCTGGCAGCAGTGGCTGAAGCACAGAATGTGCTGTTGCTTTGCCTCTGGTGCAGAGCTGCTGAACAAACCTGAAACATGGTTCTTGCTCATCTCTTCAACAGCTAGAAAAGGACAATGTCTGGAAACCAGCCCTCCCAGCAGTGGCCATGTACTCTGGGAGATCGTTCCTGCCTTCCTGGCCTGAGGACATGGTTTGGGTAGACAGTTTCCCTTCAGCTCATGCTGACATTCAGCAGGGATCCGAAGAGATCCTCTCAGTAGAGCCTCTGCTGAGGACACAGAGCTGACCCTTTGACTTTCTTTCAGTGCACTGATTTCATCTACCCCATCTGTGAGGCTTGTTGAGCAGCATGCTGTGGAACCATCAAACACCTCAGTCTTCTTTGAATATGAAAAATAAAGGCAGGTATGTGAAGACCACAAATACAGCCAAAAAACATCAGACCAGTCCAAATGTCAGTGTTTTCCTTTCAGCCATATGAAGGTGGTAAAACCACCTCAGGAGGCAATACAAACTTTGTGAATACCCCAAATAGGAAAACTGTGGTTGCATTTTCCCCTCTTCCATGTTAATTACCATTCTCTCTGGGATGATCTTCTGGAGAAAAGGGCACATCATATCCCACATCCCTGATGCACCCCCACAAAACCCAAATTCTCTTGCCTGTCATTATCCCCAGAGCCAGCACTTCCCAATAGCACAGCAGGAGGGGGACCGCCAGGAGGAAAGAAGAGTGAAGTTGAGTGGCTCCAGGGGCTTTGCACACTCCCTCACCTCTGAGAACATGAGGGGGAGGATGGGTGGAAAAACTGTGCAAACACTCAGGTAGAACCTCCCACAACAGCTGGATGTTTAATTGGAAATATGCGAAGCGAAACAGTTACAAATCTTTTGTCTAAGGTCAAATTTTTGGCATTCCATGCACTTCTATGCACATAAATACTAACCTATATGTGCACTAGGCACACAGAGGTTACACATGCACATGGATAGACATTCAAATAACCATATGTATATTGTGTTGCTGCATTTTTATGCAGTTACAATATGTACATAACTAAGTATAGCAATGAAAAAATATAATAAATCACATTATTTCAGTAGCACATCATAGGGTTCCTCTCAAAGGCTGCTGCCTTTCACAGATGCACAGCTACATCTGAGGCTCTGAATTAGCTTCCTTCTTAGTGAAACAGGAACAGCTCAGAATATTCAAAGATATTGCTTTATTTTGAATGTTTGCCTACTGAGAAAAAGAATCTTGAAAGTACGACTGCATATTTCAGAACCAGATAGAGCACATAGAATTCTTTTTTATAACACCAAACTCTACACTAACACAACATTTTTTAAAAAGAAGTAAATATGTATTTAGATTTGTTTTTCAACCAAAGAGAAAAAAACTGTAAAAGGTCATTGCAAACCATCCTCTGGTTGGAACAGACAACACAAAGTAGGTTCTTACATATAGACAAGGAACTCATAAAGCATAGAAGGAAATATATATCAAAAAAAGAAAATTATGTTTTGGAGGCCAGGAAGTGAAGGTAAAAGGAAGAATTACCAAAAATCAAGGTAATGTTGACCCTGGAAAGATCAACAATTTTAATATAAACAACATTAAAAAGGAAATAAAAGTTGAAGTTATCATGAAATGACATTGGATAGTGATTAAATGGATTCTAGATATAACTGAAGAAATAATCAGTTTTCTACAAGTAGGACAATACTGAAAAAGAAGAAGAGGCACATAACGGGAATTATCTATATCACATAGATACAAAAATATCAAATGAATGGAAAGAAAACTCCAGGAGCTTAGCACATTCAGCAGAAAGTAGATAATCTCTACAGGAAAAACACTGCAAGAATCAGCATATGAATCTAGGTTTGATAGCTAGTTTTGTCATGTATCTATGAATTTGAAGAAGATAACATAACTGAGAAGCAGCAAACATAGTCCTCAAAGGGAAGGGAAAAAAAATGTAAACTAGTGAGTTGAGCCCTGCAACCTGATTTGAGTACCATGCAGGGCTTTAGAAGAAATTTTGAAGAGAAGAATAACATCACTTGCATGCAGGACTCAAAGCCATACTAGGTAAATTTGCTGATGACACTAAATTGTGAGGAGCTGTTGACTCCATCGAAGGCAGGGAGGCCCTGAAGAGAGACCTTGAAAAATTGGAGAGATGGGCAATCACCAACCACATGAAGTTCAACAAATGAAAGTGCCAGATTCCACACCTGGGATGGGGCAGCTCTGGATGTTTGTACAGACTGGGGAATGAGATGCTGGAAAGCTGTGCCATCGAAAGGACCTGGGGGTCTTAGTTGATGGCAAGTTGAATATGAGTCAGCAGTGCCCTGGCAGCCAGGAGGGCCAACCCTGTCTTGGGGGGCATCAGGGAAAGCATCGCCAGCCAGTTGAGGGCAAGGATTGTCCCGCTTTGCTCTGCGCTGGGTCAGCCTCACCTTGAATATTGTGTGCAGTTTTGGGTGCCAGAATATGAAAAAGACATAAAGCTATTACAGAGTGTCCAAAGGAGGGCCATGAGGATGGTGAAGGCAAGCTAGATGAGGAGTGGCTGAGATCAGACACTTGGCTTGTTCAGCCCATAGGAGACCTCATTGCGGTCTACAACTTCTTGTAGGGGAAGTGGAAGGGAGGGTATTGATCTCTTCTCTCTGCTGACCTGTGACAGGACCCGAGGGAAAGGCCTGAAGTTGTGTCAGGGAAGGTTTAAGTTGGATATTAGAAAAAGGTTGTTCACCCAGAGGGTGGTTGGGCACTGGAACAGGCTCCCCAGGGAAGCGGTCACAGCACCGAACCTGACAGAGTTCAAGAAGCATTTGAACAATACTTCAGGCCAGGAGTTGGACTTGATGATCCCTGTGAGTCCCTTCCAATGCAGGATATTCTATTATTCTATGAACTAAAGACTTGGAAAATGGGGTAAAACAAAACATGGATGGCATGTCAGACATACCTGACATCCTCCTTTGATTTTTTTTAGCAATCTCATACAAATTTGAACTCATCTCTTTGGATGTTAAAAGCTTTTAACACTGTTAAATGGGAACTGATAATGAAAAAAACAAGCATAGGCATAGAAGCTGTAGGATAAAAAGGGAAACAGTCAGTTATTGAAAAGAAGACACTTCCTGGGTATATTAGTACCTCATCAGATTATTGACCCATAAGGTGATGTTGCCAAGACAACGGCGGATCCAGTTGTACAGTGCACCACCACATACACCTGGCAAAACCAGGGATATGTGGGTGTTTCTGTACAAGCCACCAGCAAGTTTTAATCCGGAAGACCATGTACTGTACAGGTCACTCATGAACTCAAACTGCAAGAGATGTGCTGTATGCTTGTGAGAAGAATGGAGTGTTCATCTGAGATGCCACTAGAAAAAGTTAGCTCAGGGAATCTAGCAAAAACGGAGGTTGACTGTATCTATGTGTGTAAATGAATGGGGAGAGGGGAAATGAGAGAATGGGGCAGGAAAAAAGAAAAATGCTTCTCACACTGGCAACACTGGCAGAAGAACAAACATGCAGCCATGAAGACATTTTGGCTGGAAATTTTAAAGAACATAACCAGTAAAGTGAGATTCTAGTAGAGCATTCAGCTCAAAGAGGCAAAGCTAAAAAAGTTAATCTTTGTCTTTAGGATTCAGATTAAAATATTTATGAAAGGGATATCAAGCAGTGCCTAAGGTGCACTCCACGACCTATTAAGTCTCTCAAGTCCTATATCTTTTATGCTAATAGAACTGACAGAGTTGGAACAAACAAATGTCCTTTGACGGTTCACATGCAACTAAGGATCTTTGTGGTGAATAAACCAAGAAGAAGTTGCTGTTTTTTAAATACGGAATTTGTAATTTAAAATCTTCTCATCTGCTCCTCTCCTTAAGATTCCAAGCAGCCACCTGAGGATATGGAGAACAGGACGGGTCTTCCAGGATACCTCTGAAGCAG